CACTATTACTACTCCTGTTCAATATAGCCCTGAAAACACTAGCCACAGCAAGTAGACAAGAGAAATAAATAAAAGGAATAGAGACAGGAAATGAAGTCCAGTCACCATTATTTGCAGACAACGTGATACTCTACATAGAAGACCCCAAATATTCCTCCAAAAGACTTCTAGACTTAATAACCAAATTTGGTCCTGGAACTACATCCAAAGTCAACATTCAATAATCAGTAGCGTTCCTGTACAACAGTAAGAACCAATCTGAGAGAGATATTAGGGAAACCACAACTTTCACAACAGCATAGATAATGAAGTACTTAGGAATCAATCTAACAAAGGAAGTTAAAGATCGCTACACTGAAAAATGCATTACTGTGATAAAGGAGATTGAAGAGGATTTCAGAAAATAGAAAGACATCCCTTGTTCTTGGGTAGGAAGAACCAACATAGTGAAAATGGCCATACTCCCAAAATTGTCATACAGATTTAATGCCATCCCAAGCAAAATACTAATAAACTATCTCACAGAACTTGAAAAAATATTCCTAAATTTAGTTTGGAACCAGAAGTGAGCTAGAGTAGCAAAAGCAGTTCTGGGCAACAAAGCCATGGCAGAAGGGATCACAATCCCAAAATCTCTGGTGGACATTTATTTTCTTTCTTTCTCCTTCTTACATTAATGTTAGAAAATCCTTGGAGACTGGGATGTCACAGACCAATTTGGCTAATTAAAAGTTCTGTGCATTGGGCCCCAAGGTCATACACTACTCAATAATCACCCTGTGTCTCCAACACCTTCACCTTGGTGACTCCAGTCCACCAACCTCCACACTCATGTCCCAGCCCCATGGTTGTCTGCATCAGGAAGCTCCTAATTAACTTTTTATTAATTTCAATCCTGAGGACAGAGACGGAGGATTCTTTGGGCTGCAGGCAAAGGAATGTCTTTGGGTCTGCTCTCCTTGACTATGACCCAAAAGAGAAACAGCATCACCCAGTAAGTGCAGATGGACCTGATGGATATGGAAGGATCCTTGCAAGCGTTGTTTCTTTACCATGAGGACAAACATGACAGTTTGGGTGCCCAGTGGGAAGGTACAAGTATGAAAAGTATCAGTTATGAGGAATGGGACTTTCGTGTTTTTGGTCTTAGCAGGGTAAGATGAATTATTATTTCAAATGTGTTTTCTACACATCCTGTTTCCCCTTCTCGAGGATGTTTCACTCATGGAAGGAGAAAATGTGTCTTTTTCAGTGATTCCAAAGCACTCCAAAAGGATTAGGAAGGTGACTGTAAGAATTTCAGAGAGAAGGATAATAACCATAACATCATGAACTTGTTTTGAGGGCTTCCTATATCTTAGGCACTGACGTAGGTGTTTTATGTAGGGTCTTTTATTTCATGTGGATTTTATTCTAGAAGGTATAAGTATCCACAGTCTTGCTTATAGAAAATAGCAGAGTCCATCATTTAATGGATCTTACAATGGGTCAATAGGTGGAGAGACGAGTCTAGTGAATTGGGCTGCCTGGTTAGAGACAAAGGGCATCATAGAGAAATAATTCAGGCAGGTTCTCCTCCAACGCAGGAAGATATGCAATTCTTTTGCGGCTTCTGAAAGAGACCCCTTACTCATTTTCTATGACTTTTGTGGGTTCTTGAAAGCTCACTGAGCAGAGCAGTGAATGTTCCCAGCTCCATCCACCAAAGACAGAAACAGACAACAGGCAAAGATCTCTGAGAGCAGTCCCTCTGCCATTCAGCACAGATTTCCCTCCTGCTGTCACTACAGGATGATTTTGCAGCTCCTCCCTCCCTTCCCATGATTACAATTCTTTTACACAGTCTCAAACTGGGGTGGTCTTGTCTTGGGCTCAGTTCAAAATTATCTCATATACAACTGAGTTATGAAATTTCTCCTTCCGTTTGTATCTTTCTGTGGGGTTGGAAACAACGAAAACTTTTAGTGCATCGGACAGGATCTTTCCATTTATTTTATAATCCTTTCAGCTCCACTTATTTTTCAAAAAGACAGCAGAGATACTTAATCTTACTATAAGATCATAAAGAGTAGGGAGCAGGTGAATGTGTGCCTCGGGCTGAGATGTGGTGTAGAACTTCATATCAGTCCGCGCACCCTTACCATTTGAATACAGATTACAATGTTTATCAGAACACTTCCTATGTGTTTGAGGTGTAGTTATTTATTTAAAAAATTCTCATAAGGGTTAAATAACTTCCTTCAGTTGCCACACATGTGAAGATGAATGCTATTTTAATTTTTTTCAAGCAGTGTGAGCATGGAGTGTAGGAGAGTTTCACATCCAGTCAGCCTGTTTGTGTGGGTCAATGATACGGGATTAATTATTCATTTCCTCAGCACCTTCCCTCGGCACAAGCTCCACTGTGCCTCTGAAACAAGATGACAATGTTATTTCCTGTATGAGGATGACATGACTTTGTGTGTTAGTATGATGAGCTCATCACTGGACAGACCGCATGAAAATTTCGAAGGTATTTCTGAAGAAATATAAGTGACTGATTATTATTGGAAAAATTGTGAGATTTTAACCAGCATTAAGTTTTGGAAATCAGAAATACATCCTCCTCCACCAATATCTTTTTATTTCAGTGCCAGGGAGAGAGACACAAAAATTTAGATAAGATTGTTATAGTAATAAACCTAAGGTTAAATGAAGTCTCTCCCTTTCACATAACGCTGTGTACTAGTTAAAGGAGATTTAATTGTTGTGATTGTAACCTAATCTATTTGGGGGACAAAGGTGTTTTCTTATACATTACTTACATTAATTTTAGGTACTTTTAGAATAAGTTTTTAAGAAAACTCCTCGTGGTATCATAAATTCACATTGACCTGGAAAACTAACAGCAAAATCTGCCCATAAAATTCACCACACAGAATTCTCTGAAGACAAGAAAGCAGAATTATGAAATTATGGAGAGATCCCAAGTGTTCAACTTTCTTAGGTAATTGTTCAGAGTTCTAAAGATATTAATGCTGATGTAAATATTATTAAATATTTACATGTTCATATCTATAAATATAATATTAATTGGGCCTTTTAAGAATACCAGATGTCATTCTAAGGGAGTGGTTTTCAAATCTTGCTTAAGAAAGTAACACAAAATATTGAAGTGTAAATATTATGATTAACTTTAGTGGCAGAAGTCTAGAGTATCCATACATTTCTAAACACCCCCAGATGATTATATCACTAAATTAGAACCAGCAGTGATGAAAATTCAATGACTTTTAAAAGATTTTCTTACAGCAGCCATAAAAGGTAGGTATTTCTGCTCCCCATTTTACAGAAGAGGCGTGTTTACGTTATTCACAGTTGTGTTTACAAAACTTAATGTAGCTTTTTCTATTGCCTCTGAGTTGTGATGTCTGTTTACATTACTTCATTTAGTATCTTTTTAATGTGCTATTTCCAATAAAATCACAGTGTGACCCGACCATAAATTGTGTCCCGTTTCCTTCATGTAGCTGAAATAAGAGAAATACAATTTATATATCAAGAAAGTTTGATGAGAAAATCAGTAGGTTAGAACTAGGAAGGGCCAGACACAGCCAGGGCCTGGGGGCTTTGTTTCCTGTGTCTTCACCTGCATACAAAAGGGTGTATGGTCAAAGTAATGAACGTTGTCAGTTATACAATTTGTATCTTATTTGCACTATTAGTTTTTCACACCAGAGAAACTATTCGGTATTTACACATATGTGTCTTATTTATTTCACTTAAGAGTATGGTCTCAATATGTATACATTTTCCTATGAATGACTCTAGTTTCTCATTCTCTATGGCTGTACTGTATACTTAAAAAGTACCAATAAACTCAATGAAAAGAAAAAGTAAAGAACATTTCCAAGCTGCTGTAGAATATAGGAGCAGTAGAGAGATGTTTTTATAGCAGATATGTTAGTGATATTTTATTATATAATAAATTTATTATATATTAAATTTGAAATGTCAAAACTGCTTATTAGCTGTTATTTTTAATTATTGACAGGTGGGGTGTGAACTTAATGCTACCTTTGTGGTCAGTATATCCTAAGATTTTGTGCATGTGCTTAAACCTGCTATATACAAATTTGAGTTCACCAAAAACAAGGTGAACTACAATTCACCAAGTGATTTTGATTAACTCAAATTCTTCAAATAGATTATGTACAAAGACTGAGAAAGCTCTTATGTCCTTGAAAGAGGAAAATCAGAACACTCAAAATGATAAAAAGAATTCTCTGAGGCCTAAAGTATAG